CCAGGGCCTCTTCCACACAGCGGAACACCTTCAGAGCATCCTCTCCCTCAAGAACCACCCAACGGGATACCCCGAGAACCTTGTCCACCCAACGGGACACTCCCAGGACCTCTTCCACACAGAAGAACACCCCCAGAGCATCTTCTCCCTCAAGAACCACCCATCGGGACACCCCTAGAACCTCATCCACCCAACAGGACACTCCCAGGACCTCTTCTACACAGCAGAACATACCCAGAGCATCCTCTCCCTCAAGAATTGCCCAACGGGACACCCCCAGAAGCTCGTCCACCCAACAAAATAATCCTCAAGTTTCCTCTCCCCCCAGAGCCACCCAACAGGACAACTCCAGAACCTCTTCTACCCAACAGGACAAACTTCTAACTTCTGTTCCTACTTGTACTCCCCATCGGGACAACCCCAGAACTTCTTGCATTCAACAAAATTCTCCCAGAACTTCTTCTACACAACGGGACAACCCTAAAACCTCTTGTACCCAACAAGACAATCCAAAATCCTCTTCCTTATGGCGGGAAAGCCCTGGAAGCTCCTCCTCTCAGGGCTCCACCCAACAGGACAATCCTGGACCACCATCTCCCCATCGCTTCTCTCAACGGAACAACCCCAGAAATTCCTCTCCCCATCGTACTAACAAAGACATTCCATGGGCCTCCTTTCCCCTCCGGCCAACCCAGAGCAATGGCCCCCGAACGTCTTCCCCTTCACGCTCCAAGCAAAGTGAGGTTCCCTGGGCATCCATTGCCCTCCGGCCAACCCAAGGTGACAGGCCTCAGACCTCATCTCCTGTTAGATCAGCTCAGCGTGACCCACTCCAGTCCTCCTCTGGCCCTACCCTGCACAACTCACCATCCCGGGCCACTTCGTCCTCCCATAACCCAGGCCATCACAGTGCCTCCCGGACTTCTTCACCTCTGCACCTCACTACCAGTGGCACACCCCAGACCTCTTCTGAGCCCTCCCAGCCTCCGTGTGCTGTGTGCATTGGGCACCGGGATGCCCCTCGAGCCTCATCACCTCCTCGCTATTTGCAACATGACCCCTTCCCCTTCTTTCCAGACCCCCCCACCTCTGAGAGTGAATCACCCCACCATGATCCCCCCTATATTCCCCCAGCTGTGTGCATTGGACACCGAGATGCTCCTCGGGCTTCCTCACCCCCCCGCCACACCCAGTTTGACCCATTCCCCTTCCTCCCAGACACATCAGATGCCGAGAACCAGTCCCCTCAGCATGATCCTCCTCAGTTCCCCCCACCTGTGTGTATCGGGTACCGTGATGCACCCCGGGCCTCCTCCCCACCACGCCAGGCCCCAGAGCCCTCCCTTCTGTTCCAGGATCTCCCCAGGGCCAGCACCGAGAGCCTTGTCCCCTCCACAGACTCTCTGCATGAGCCCCCCCACATCCCCACCCCTGTATGCATTGGGCACCGGGATGCACCCTCCTTCTCATCCCCACCACGCCAGGCCCCCGAGCCTTCCCTCTTCTTTCAAGACCTCCCTGGGACTAGTATGGAGAGCCTGGCCCCCTCCACCGACTCTCTGCGTGGCTCCCCAGTGCTGCCCCCTCAAGTGTGCATTGGGCACCGGGATGCCCCTCGAGCCTCCTCCCCACCCCGCCACCCGCCCAGTGACCTAGTGCTCCTGGCAGCCTCACCTCCGCCAGGCAGCTCTGGGGGCTCTCGGGGCTCCGTGCCTCCGGGGGAGGCCAGGCATAACTTGGAGAGGGAGGAGTACAGCATGCTGGCCGACCTGCCCCCGCCTAGGAGGCTGGCACAGAGGGAGCCAGGGCCCCAGGGCAGCAACGGGGGCCGCGCCCGGAGCCCTGGCCGCGCAGAGGTGGAGCGCCTCTTCGGGCAAGAGCGCAGGTGAGCCCAGGGCGGGGTCAGCTAGGTGGGCTGGGGAGGAGGCTCGGCAGCAGGACAGGCGAAAGGTTCACTGGCTTAGGTTGCAGATGAGGAAAGGGTTTAGACCCCCACTCTGCCACTTACTGTGTGACCTTAGGCAAGTCACTCTACCTCTCTGTTTCCACGTGTTAGGAGTTGCTTTTGATGATTAAGTGATATCGGTCATAGCCTAGTGGTTAAGAGCGAAGGCCAGGGTCAGGTAGGCTGGGTTTAAATCCTGGGTCAAAGCCATTCCCCAACCTATGTGACCTGGTAAAGTGATTTAACCTACCTGAGCCTCAGTTTCCTCCTCTGTAAAATTAGAACATTACTCTGTTAATTTAAATGAAGTTAAACTCTCAAACCCTTTGATCCAGAGTTACAGGTTTGTTTTTTTCACCTTATGTGAGCAAGAAGAAGAAAGTATCCGATTTTTTATCTTAACAAAGAAAACTCATGGGTCCCATGCATTTCAGAAAACATGTCAATTTAAAATGTATGGCCAGAGTCATATATTTTAAATAAGAGAACTCATAGAATTACAGACTTTGGAGGTTAAATGTTCCTTTCCTGGGACTTGGCAACAGTGCCTGAAGTCCAGGCATCCCGCAAGTCTCTTGGGTCAGGCATTTACAACCCAGTAGAGCATCTGCTTTTCCACAGCTTCCAGGAGGAGAAGAATCTCCTCCTGAGATTTCTTTCTCCAGCAATTCCAGCCTCAGAGCCTTTAAGGATCAGGGCTGGAATTCCATTAATTAGGGTTAAGAGAACAAAAAAAATAGGTCTGAAAGTCTCAAAACTTTCAGTGTAGAATTCAATAAATTATAGCATATTTACCAAGACCGGGTTGTACAACCATCACCACAACCTAATTTTAGAACATTTCTGTCACTCTAAGGAGAGGGTAATATTTTGCATCCACAATTCCTCTCTCTGTTGCCCCATTTTCTCTTAGATTTGAATCTACATGAAAAACCTTATCTCTCATTCTTCAGATTTCCTTTTCCAGTAAGTTTTATTCATCTACCAACCGGGTGACAACCTTTATGGTCTGGAGCATGTATAATTCTTTCTTTGGCCTCTTCAAAATAAAAAAACCAAAACACTGCAGTTTTAGGTTCACAACAACATTGAGTGGAAAGTACAGAGATTTCCCATATACCCCCTGTTCCTGCTCATACACAGCTGCCCCCACTATCAACATCCCCCACCAGAGTGGTACACTCGTTAGTCCATACACTTAATGCTGACACATCCTTCTCACCCAAAGTCTGTAGTTCATATTAGGGTTCACTCTCGGTCGTGTACATTCTGAGTTTGGACAGATGTATAATGACATGTATCCCCCGTTAGAGCATCATGCAAAATAGTCTCACGGCCCTAAAAACCCTCTTTGTTTTTGGCCCTTTTTTTAGGATAACTATTTTTGGTCTGAGGTCAATTTGCATACCTTTGACTTTATCTGGTAACTCAGCGGGGTCTTTAAACCAAAGTCAAATTTTCTTTCTTTTCTTGATAACTTTTAGAGAGATAAAGGGTTTATAATAGAAGTCTGGAATATATTTATACTTCTGTTAATTATTTAATTGTTTTTACGTAGATACGTCTATTCATTTTATCTTGCTCGCTTCGACGTAGGTTATTTACCTTTCTTTAAAGCTTTATTTTTGATACAGAAAAATTCCATATTTAACTTACATTTTTTGGTGAAGTACATTATTTACCTTTTAACCGAGGTTTTATAACTCTACTTAGTAATTAAAATTTTCCCTCTTGTATGGCCCTTTTCCCAAGTAGAAAACCACCTGTCCTCAGAAGATGAAATTTTAAAACCTGTTTAAGTATCTGTAAGGGACAGACTGAAATTTATGAATGGGTGGCTGGCTATAGGCCTGAACTTTTATTTCCTCCTATTTATTCGTTCAACATGTATCTATTGAGCATCTACTCTGTCCAAGCATTGTTCCAACTGAACCTGGAAAATTTTTCTTAAAGGGCCATTGCATTAAAGCATTAGGAATTTGGGCTTGATATCTTCATTTACCCCCACCTCCCTTGATGCCCTTGGAATCTCTTAGAATTATAGAAGTATTTCCTAGTCTCTTGAAATCAAAATAGAGCCTTCATGAAATTTGCTAGACTTGATGGCTGTTGTCCTTTAATACTCTCTGGAGGTGGAAGAGCCCATCCAGACTTCCAAAGGAATCGCACTTCCTTTGTCACCCTCGGTGCAGCCACGCCAACCCCCGGGAGCAGGTGGCCTAAGGAGGCACTGTTGCTTCTGCGTCAGGAAGGCTGGGTCTCTGTCACAGTCTGAGAATTTTCTGAGTCCTTCACTCCCATCTCTCCATTTCTCTCGGGGTTGGGAGGAGAGTGGGGACCTTCCCAGAAGGAATGCTCATTGTGCAAGCCGGAGTTTATACGGAAGATGCATTCACTTGGAAGAGAACGCACATTTGCCTCGCTACCCTGCACAGAGTATTTTTTGCTGTCACCTCCCCACCTAGTCATTATCAATCCTCCTCATCTAGTCATGTTTGGGGTTTTTGCTTAGCAGAAACTCCTACACCCCAGTTCTGAGGGAAACTCACTCTAAAGTATCAGATCTCACAGAGCAAGGAAACTCTTTCGCTTCAAATTGGATTAAAACTTGAACCTGACCAGGCAGCCCTCAAACTTAGAAACATTTACTCCAGAGCAGAGAACTTTGGTTCCCCGTGAGCCAAGTGCTAAGAACTGCTAAAAACTCAGATCACTTTATAGATCAGATTCTAATGACATTGGCAAAAGCCATAAAACAAGAACAAACCCCAAGCTCGTAATTGTTTGACTCTCTGAAGCCTCTATAGAGTTTCAGCCCAGTCCCCAAGCTGTCAGCAGACTACAGAGCCCAGGTCCTTGCTCAGGTCTGAGTAGAGATTCCTCTTACTCCCTTTTTGCTGGTTTATTCAAGGCTCAGCACCTGGTCATCTTTTTCAGGTTCCTCCTGGTTTGGTTCAGCCATCAGAGACACAGCTCCATTTGGCAGTTTAGGTAACGTCAGACTCTCAAACCCTCTTGAAATAAATATTCAGTGGAGCGGTTAGGTCTTTTGTCTTGACCCCTTTACAAGTAGGAGGGAAGAAATATGCCCAGATTCTGTTTGGTGTTTCACGTTTCAACAGAGATGTTATATTAAATATTAATAGTCATAGCTACTAATTACTAAGCAAGACAACTAGCTGGAACTAGGGACTTTCTACAGCTTAGGGGTCATCTTTGTAGGACGTGGCAACAATGCCTGAAGTCAGGGTGTCTTAGAAATGACATTCACATGGACAGCTTTATGCTGCCCTTTTTAGAGTTGTGGGGCAATAGAGGACATTTCTTCCTTCTGATCTTGCTAAGAGCTCCTGAACCAGCAGCTAGGAGTTTCCAAGGCTAAGTGCCGGAATCCTGTTATACTGAGGGGAAACATAGGTAAGCCTGAGAAGTCTAAAACTTACCATATGGACAGGAAGAGGGCAGAAAGAATGGAGCACATTCTGCATGACATTCTACATCTCCTGTCCCCACCTCATGGGCTGCAGGAGATGAAGTGAGACAGTACCAGTGCCTGGGACATAGGAAATGCTCGGTAAACGGTTGCCATTATGATCACGTGTGCACAGTGCCTGGTACACAGTGGATGCTCAATAAATCTTAATTCCTACAGGGCCCAGTAAAGCCTTTGTCTGGGGTGAGCCAAAGGCTGCTGGTGGGGAGGTGGTCAGAAAGGAAGTACTGATGAGATAGGAGGAGGTCAAGGCCAAGGCTGAGCACCCCCCTTCCCACCCTTTTTTCATTTCATCTTCACAATAGCCCCATGAGGCAGGTAGAAGAAAACAGTGTCAACCATTCCCATTTTACAGAAGGGGAAACTGAGGCCCTGAGAGGATCCTCCCTCACTTAGGCCCTTCAGTGAGCTTGTGGGTCCTTGGCTCTGCCTCATCTCTTCCACTGGGGTTGGGAGTAGAGGAGTTGGGGTGCCGGGAGTGGGACAACCCCAAGGGCCCTCAGAGGGGTGGCTGCGTTTGCTCATAGGAAGTCCGAGGCACCGGGGGCCTTCCAGGCCCGGGACGAGGGGCGGTCGCAGAGGCCCAGCCAAGGTCAGAGCCAACTTCTCCGAAGACAGTCCAGCCCTGCCTTCAGCAGGGAGGTGAGCACTGCCCGCCTACCCCCGGGCCCTGCACCCCCAAGGGGTGAGCCACTGCTTCTCCCCTCCCCCAGGTGCCAGGTGGGGGGCCTGGGAAGGGAGGTTCTTTATGAAAGGGTCAGAGTCCCAATCATGGGTGTCCAGCTTCCCCCTCTCCCTAAGAGCCAGCAGCTCTTGGCAGAATTGAGAAGGACCCCAATCATTCCATCTTGAAGATGGCCCTTCCGTGCTGTCCCCTTCCTTCATTAGGTACCTGCCATTTTGAGAAGTTTTCAGAGAAAACCTCCCATGCACCAGTCCAGCTCTAAGGGCTGTCCCTTCCAGGGTGGGCATTTCTATTTTTAAAGAAACTCTCAGACGGCAAGGCCCAACCCAGTGGATGGGGTATTGGTGGTGGAAATTCCGGCACCTGATAGCCTGGGTTGGAATCAATATCTTGGGGGGAGGGGAAGCCAGGAAAGTGAGCAGCTGTTTGCAGATCTCATTCTGGGACTGAGGAAGGTGGGCGAGAGGGAAGAGCTGCTGCCCCCAGGGAGGGAATCCAGGGACCCTAGGTACTTTTTGACCGGCCTTAATCCAGGCTGCTGTGAGGACACAGTTTGCATCTCCCTGAGGCCTGGCTAAGACCCCAGTTTCCTGTCCTCCTAGACAGAGACCACCCAGTCAAGGTACTGGAGCCTCACCCACCCCCTCACCTCATCCTCAGGTAACCAAGCCCCTTGTGAAGCAGGCAGAACCGGCCTGGCAGAGCCCAGCAGAGCCCCCTCATCCCAGGAGCCCCGAGAGGCAGCCTGAGGGGGACCGGCGGCTCCAGGGGTCCTCACTGCCCCCGAGGACGTCAGCCAGGACTTCTGAGAGGGAGCAGCGGACAGAGAGACCTCTGGAAATTGGCCGGGCGGGCCCAAGGCAGCCTTTAGGAGGGTGGCAGAGTCAGGAGGACCCACCAGGATCCTGGGGTCTGCACAGACACCTGGAGAGAGGCTGGGGCAGCCAGGAGAAGGGCCTAGGCCTGAAGGGCTGGCAGGGACTTGGGGAGCCCAGACAGGGGCCTGCCAGAGACCCAGAGGGAACATGGAGGGGCCCCACTTGCCACAGGGGGCAATCAGAGGCCTGGGAGGAGCACCCCCAGAATGGGCTACGGGAGCCCCCTGACAGGCCAGCTCAGAGGGGCTGGGGCAGCCTGCAGGAGCTGTCCAGTCCTCACCAGCCTATGAGCCCCTCAGAGAACTCCAGGGCAGGCCCAGTAGAGTTCTCGAAATCCCAGAGGCCTGAGACGCCCCCTGCTGTGGGCTGGTGGGCCGAGGGCGCCTGCCCACACCTGCATGGCCCCGAGAGGCGACCTGAGCTTGACTGGAGGGACCTGGTGGGCCTTCTAGGGGCCCCCAGAGAGGGAGCTTGGACCCACACGGAGGAGCCGACTCTCGCCTCCCGCCTTCCGAGGCTGAACTGGGAAGGCCTCCTGGAGCTCCTGCAGGCCCAGCTCCCCTGCAAGGACCCAGCTGGACACTGGGGTGGCCCGGCCACAGCTTCCCCAGGCATGAAGGGTACCCTGGAGCTGGAGCAAGAGCGGCACAGCCAGCCTGAAGGAGCGGCAGGGGCTACCCTCCTCAATGGATACAGCCCTGGGCAGTGGCCCCAGAGCTCTGCCCAGCCGTCCAGCCCTGCCAGCATCTCCACCCAGTGGCCAAAGACCAAAGTGACGAGTGGACCAGAGACCTCAACTATGGCTGATCTGGAGAAGGGCCAGCTGGGGCGCAGGAGCCCTGCAGAGGGCCCCAGCTCACCACTGGGGGAGGTAAGTTAGTCTCATTTCCAAGTCTTGAAAGTCAGCTTCACCCAGCCAAGTGTCCCCGGAAAGGCCTTCCCTCAGTTCTTGCACACAGTCCTCCCTCCTGACCAAAACCTTTCCCTACCACCAAACTGGACAGTGATAACGACCAGCACTTTTTTGAGCGTTTACTATGTACTAAGCCTTGGTCTGAATGTTTTATGGTATTTTCCTCATTTAATCTCTATAGCAATTTGATGAGAGAGGCACTATTTATTTACAGATAAGGAAACAGACACAGAGAGGTTAAGCCACTCACCCAAGATCACACAGCTAGTAAGGGCTGGGGTAGGGGTGGATCCCAGGTCTGCTCTGTGCAGATCACCCTGAGGCCTCAAGCAAGATGCTCTGGCCAGCAAGATGCTTTTCCCGTCCTGGCCACACAATACCTGGTTTGTGTTGCCTCTGGTGGTTCCTACCTGGCCCTGTCTGGGGCTGCAGCTAATGTGGTCACGTCCCTACCCTACTGCTGTATTTCAACTTCCTTAAAGTCCAGGACAGTTTCATTTACCCCTCTCTGGCCCCTATAGCTCCTCTCAGGTGGAGAAGCGGTTGTATAAATGCTCACTGGCCTGAATTGGCTGCTGAGACAGCTGCTTAAATGAGGGCCCATGTGCAAAAGAGGCCCAGCGCCTGGCACACAGTAGGTGCTCACTAAGTCCCTTCCCTGTCTCCTTGGCCCAAGGGTGGGATCACAGAGTCAGTGGTGCACCAGTGCCACACGGAGCATTTATCGGAAGATAGCAGGTGGGAAGGATCCTGGAGGCCAGCACCCTACAGCGTGACCTCAGCTCACCAGGAACACAGCATGTGGTTTTGGACACCTAGCCTCTCTTGGTCCTGGTCTTCCCCTGTAGAATGGGACAAACTGCTTCCCTGATAGACACCACTGGGGTGATGGGGAGCCTCCAGCTTGTTCATCCAAACCCTCCTCATCTCCACAATGTACTCCCCAAGGTAAGGGTTTACAGTGTGGAGGGCCCTGGGCTTGGTGCTTTATGTGCTTTGCCAGATGTACCTCAGCTGGATCCAAGGCTCAGATTCACAAGGCATTTGCCAGGGGTCACACATGTATAAGTCGAGAGAAATGAGATCAAAGCATCAATTCCAAAGCCTGAGCTTTTAACCACTGTGTTGTGGAGCCTCTGAGCCCCATGGCAGGACTCAGGAGCCCCCTGCTCTGTATTTCCCTAAGGCTTTTATCGTTTTGTCCTCTGGTCAACTCAATGCACAGACACCAGAAATGCAGGGCTGAGCCAGCTTCGTCCTGCCCTCATGACCAAGAGAGACCCAGGGATTTGTAGCCCCACATGAGAGGTTGCTGTCACGTTTGCTGGGGAGACAGGTGGACCATAGGCAGTTCAGGGAGGAGAAGATGCTGTGTCCCAGTGGACACCGGGATGCTGCAGGCTGGTTTGGTCCAAAGGGAAGAGGGAGGGACAGATTCTTCAGCTAGAGTTACTCCATGGTGGGGCTCAGGGTTCCCTGGGAGGTTAGGAGATGGCGACTGTGGAAGGATGGGAGCACCAGGGCATTTCACAGATGACACAGCAGAGGCATTCACGATGTCCTGCTGGGGCTCCTTGGCATGGCATTCAAGGCCTCCTGGACTTCTACCCCAGATTTGCCCTCTAGTTGTGCTGAGCTCGCTGCAGAGCTCTGTGAGCACATCTCCCTGCCTCTGTGCATGCTGTTCCTTGCCTAGTATTCTCTTCCCTTCCCTCCTCACTCAGCAAACACCTGTTCATCATTCAAGTCTTAGATCAGGTGCTCTGTTATAAGATGCCTCCCCTGAATACTCACCCTACTCCTGGATTGGTGGTGTTTCCCTTCTGGGCTTGGTGTTCTGCTGCTCTTCATCTGGTCACAATTGTTTTTCCTTAAGAAACATAAGCTCCATGAGGGCAGGAACTACGCCTACTTTATCTCTGTACCTCCAGCTCCTGGCCCAGAGACTGACACAAAGGAGGTTCTCAGTTCAGTGGTGGTTGACCAGTGAATACATGGATTGAGTGCTTGTAAGAAACAGATGGAGGGTGGGTATGTCAGTGGGCAGATGATGGATGAATGATGGATGACAGATATGTGAACGGGTGATGGATAGATGATATATGTTGAATAAATGAGAAAGAGATGTTGGATGGACGACAGATGGGTGGAGGGATGGATAGATGAGTGATGAATGGAACAGATGATGGGTGCTGGATAGATGGATGTTGCTTAGATGATGATTAACAGATGGATGGATGAATTTTGGGTATAATATGTTCAGACGGATGTTAAATGTTGTGGAATGTTGTGGAATATGAATGATGGATGGTAAATGAATGTTGGAAGGATGATGGATGAATGGACGCTGGATGAATTGAGGAAGGATACATGGATATAGGATGGACGGATAGATGATGAATAAATTGAGGATGGAAGTATTGGGATAATGGAGGTTGGATGCATGAGTGGGTGGATGATATAGGATGAATTTTGGATGGTTAGATGGACACACGGATCTATTGATGTTGGATGGTTGGATAGGTGGATGTTAGATGGATAGATGCTGAATGGATGGATAAGAAGTTGGAGAGATGATGGAATCTGGGGAGTAACCTGACCTAAGCTGTGTTCTTTCTTATCTCCAGTTCCAGTCTAAGGAGCTTGAGGAGTCAGAACGAAGCAGAGGCCAAGACTCACTGACTGGCCAGAAGCAGGCAGACTCGGTAGTTGGGTCATGGGTGTGGGCACATAGGGAGGGGAAGGGAAGGGAAATCAGGTTGGAGGTGGGCTGAGATCCTCAGATGAGCTCTGGGGTCATCCACACCAACGCTGGCTCTGCCCTGGGGTCATTGAGAAGAGGAGCTCTGAGGAGCTGCGCAGCAGGGCCACCTTCTGGCTTGGGGACCTGGGTGGGTGGACAATACTGGGGTCAGAAGCTCAGGGCTCTGCTTTCAACTTGCTACGATGCCCTGAAAAGGTCACTGCCCTTCCCTTGGCAAATGGCAGTTTGGCCCTGAGGGTCTCTGAAGGCAAGGTCCTTCTGGTTCTGGGGGGCTGGCCCGGCTGGAAGGGGTTGAGCTTCCAGGAGCCAGATCCAGAGAAGCACTGAAGAAGGCCGAGGAGGTACAGAAGTCAGCTGGGCCTGGAGGATATCCAGGGTCCTGGGGGCGGGAGAGATGTGTGCAGGGGGTGGGACCCACTGAGACTGCTCAGAGGCCTGGCTGCAGCTGGAGCACGTTGCTCTGCCCCTCCCCTCCCTGCCAAACAGACTGTTCTCATCACCCTCAGCCTCCAGAGAGGTGAGGTCAGAGCCGAGGGCCTGGGGCAGCGGGAGGAGGGGAGAAGGAGACAGGCTGTTCGAGGCTGTACATTCCTCATCCTGCTGTTCTGCTGTTCCCCATGCCACCTCCTGAGAAGCAGGGTGTGGGGTGGGGGAGTGGGAAGGGCATCTGTCTGGCCACCTGGAGCCCCCGGGTCTGGCCCTGCGGCTAGTCAGAGCTGGGGGGATTCTGCCCAACCCCCTACTGTGCAGATGGAGAAATGAGGGGCAGGGCCGTCATCCCAGATCACATAGTCAGTCGGTGGCTGGGCTTAAATTAGGACCAAGGGCTCAGGACCCCTAACCCACGCTTTCCCTGTTCCTCCCAATGCCGCTTCCTGGCTCTGCCCTGATTGCCTGCATGGCCTCATACAGTGGAAGCACCATTCTAACTGCTTGGTGGGCTAGCCTTCCCATCTGTGACATGGGAGGGTACAGGGGACTGGTCACTAAGGGCTCTTCTAGCTCTCACAGGGACTCTGACAACTTTGCTCTTCCTCTTTCTGGATCATTTCTTCATACTTCCTGGGTCCAGAGTTTTGTGAACAAAGAGGAAATAGCAATATAGGGGTCCCCCTCATGCAGTGAGCCCCAGGAACACAGAAAACCTCTCAATCCACCACCAGGAAGCCTGGACTGGACAGAATTGATAACTGCCTCATTCATCCATTCATTTATTCACTCATTCACATACCCTTAGTGAGCACCTTCTGTATGCCTCAGTGTGCGCCAGAGGCGAACTGGAGTGTGCAGCCCACAGTCTAGTGGTCAGGGCTGTGATGGGGATGTGGTGGCAAGGTGGGGGCAGTCCTTCTCCCAAAAGCCCCCTGCACCTGTGCTTTGACGCATCACATCCCACCTCCAGGGTGTCTCTGGATTCTGGAGAGTTGGGACGCTTGGGCTCTGTCCTGCCTCTGCCAGTAACCTGCTATGTGACTTTGGGCAAATGCCTCTGCTTCACTGGGGCCTCAGTTTCCCCAAACAAGGATGACTCCAAAGGGGGTGCACTTGGGGGCTCTGCTGGGTGCAGCTGGAGAAGTCTGACGACTCATCCCTTTCACAAAGGTGAGGAGAGTAGACAGATTGAGGGGACCCGGAACTGAGGGGCCCTTAGGTGACTCCTTGGCCCCAGATGGTTGTTGCCATCGAGAAGAGGGGCCAAGAGTTTCTCCATAGATATTTCTTTTTTACTTTATTTTTTAAAATTTTATTTATTTGTTTATTTATCCATCCATCCATCCACAGATATTTCAAGAGAGGCTGCAAATATGTAGTTATTCCTTTTTTTTTTTTTTTTTGGTGGAGGTACTGGGGATTGAACCCAGCACCTCAGGACCTTGTGCGTGCTAAGCATGTGCTCTACCACTGAGCTATTACCCTCTCCTGGAAATATGTAGTTATACGTTAAACCTCTTGATTATTTAACACTGAAACCTAATGCAAAATAATCTGAAAAGCCTATTTGGGCTGAACACACATCCGTGGTCCGCACTCCCCTCCCACCTGCCACCTGGGGCCCAGCTTTAGAGGGGAGAAGTGCACATCCCTGAGGGCGTTGAGCCCCAGGAACCCTCAACCAACATCAGGCAGCGTGAAAGAGTTAACCAGTTCTTTCCTCGACAGCTCTGGGAGAGGAGAAAGATGGGAACCCTGGGCCTTTGAGGTGGGCATGGCAGCGTGGACGGGGGGTTGTCGTCAGGGACTCCCCCCTCCCATCAAAGGTACCTGGGGGCCAACTCTGGACCCTGTTTGACAGGCAGACAAGAGGCCAGCAGAGGGCAAGGCTGGGAGCCCGCTCAAGGGCCGACTGGTGACCTCATGGCGGATGCCCGGGGACCGTCCCACGCTGTTCAATCCGTTCCTGCTGTCTCTGGGGGTCCTCAGGTGGCAAAGGGTAGGATGGCTCCAGTGGGGCGGGGGCGGGTGGGTAAGGGTGGGGAGAGAGGGGGAGGGAAGGGAAGAGTCTGGTGTTAGTCAAAGAAGAGAGAGTAGGCGCTGACAGGGAAGGCTTTGGGGCCCCCACAGGAGAAAGGAGAGATGGAAGCAGAGCCCTGAGCTCCCGTGGTCTCTGCAAGTCAGTGGGACATCCCACCTGCAGGACCGGGCTGGACTGTTTTCAGCTTTTGGGGTGAGGGATGATTGAATAATCTGCACAGCTGAAAGCTCCCTATCAGCAAATAGGCCAAGGGGAGCCTTGCTGCGGGGGAAGGGGAGAGGGAGGGAGGGCCTGCGAGGGGCTCTGGGATTGCAAAGTGTGTCTCAGACCTGGGCCTGAGCCAGTTGCACAAACATCTGGCATTACGTAACCCATCCCCTGCCCAGAGAGGGCTGTAAACACTCAGGCCTCTGGTTCAGGGTTTCCTCAAGGGCAGGGAGGGGAGGCAGCTGTGACTAGCTCTCTCCTGCCCCACTTCACGGTGGGAGGGAAGAGGCCTGGCCTTCTCCAGGGGCCACAGGCTGGATTGTGGGGTCTCTGCTCTCAGTGACAGGCTGACTCTCGTACCCTCATTGGTTTGGGGTCCAGCACTAGGCTGTATGCCCATTCTACAGAGGACAGAGACAGAGACTCAAGGAGGTGAGGTTGACCTGCCCGAGGTCACATAGCTAAGGTTTAGAGGAGCCAACCTCTTGCTGATTTCCCCCATTCTTGGAGGAGAGAATGGTTGCAGTCAAACCCACCAAGCCTCAGTTGCCACATCTGTCTAATGGAGAAAAATCTATGGAGGCGATCAGAGCTGCAGGGAGGGCTGAGAAATCAGGATGCACAGAGGTGGGATGGCGGGAGGTGGAGGCAGGCGTCCAAACACAGTCTTCCATCCACTTCGTAATTCCCTCTCTGCTGCTCTTTGGGAGTTAAGGCACAAGGGCAATCAGGCAAACGTGGTTATCTGGGCAAGGCAGTATCTCTGAGCCATGGGCGGGAATTAAACTTATTAGTCTAACTAAAGGTCACGAACACACAGCAGGTCTGGCAGGAGGAGGCAGGTAAGTCCCTGGTTGGAGGGAGGGGGAGAGAAACAGGGAAACGGACTCTTGGATGATGATGGTGGTGATGAGAATCAGCATTTATTGTGCATCTACTGTGTGCTCAGCTGTGTTCAGTGCGTGGCATACCTGATGGTATTGACACCTCACCACCAGGCATACCAGAGACGGTTCATACTACCCATTTCATAGATGAGGAACTGAAACTCACTTGTCCAGATCTCACAAGGGGGAGAGCTAAGACTTGAACTCTGTTCTGGCTGACCTCAGAGCACCGCCCCCCCTACACCTCTGTGCATCCTTATCTTGCTGAGTCCTCCTTGCAGCCCTTGTCTCCACGGATTTTTCCCATTAGACAGATGTGGCAACTGAGGTCAATGAGTTTGCGGCTATTCTCTCATCTAGGAATGAGGAAAATCAGGAGCTGAGAGATGGAACTGCGGTGGAGCCTCCAGACAGTTACATAGAGCAGTTTCAAACATCCCTTGGGCTGGAGAGTGAAATTAGTCCAATGTCAAGAGCCAGAAAGCCTGGGCTTGAGTTCTGTCTCTGCCCCTAACTTGTGTGGCTTTGGGCCACTGTCTCCCTTCTCTGAGCCTCACACTGTTATCTTCAATAGAGTAACAGTTTGAGACTGGATCACCCCAAAGTTTGGTGGCTCTGTTTAAGAAGTCACTCCTGGGTCCACAGGCTGTATCATCTCTGTCCTACCAAGGCAAGCTGCAGTAAGGGAGTCATTGCTTCATTTGCGCATTCCTTAATCCGATCAAGGAGCTGACGTGGGCTGAGGCCCTGGGTGGACCTCCAAGATACAGACAAAAACCACTCTTTCCCTGCCCTGCCCACAAGGAGCTCACTCCCTGCCCACAAGGAGTTTGGAAAAGGACACTGATACATAGCTGATTAGAACCCAGTGTGGTCCTCACTTGAGTTGAGAGTGCAGGGAGCCCTAGGCAGGGAGTTAATGTTGCAGCCCCGGGCAAGGAGATTCTAAGTCTCTGCTGGGGACACTTTGGCTTCCTTTGGACTGAGACTTGAAGGGTGAGGAGGAATTTTCCAGGCAAACAAATATTTGTGGGGAGGGGAGGGAGAGACTGAAGTATGCATACGTTGGGGCATAAGAGGACAGGAAGGGAAGCGTTCCAGACACAGCACTGAGTAACATGCGCAGTTAGGGAAGTACAGAGGACCTGGCTTATTCTGGAAACTCCCAGTAGTCCAGTATTTCCCTAGCATGTGAAATGTGTGTGTCTAATGATGGAGGACAGCAGGCAGGGGCCAAACGGTAACAGACACTGACTGCCTGGCACAAAAATGTATCTATCAGCATTGGAGAAGGGTTGGAGAACTTTGAGCAGGGGAGTGGTCTGATCACTGTGTTGAGGGTACTAGAAGGGGAGTTCCAGAGGCCAGGAAACCAGCAATGAGGCTGGTACTGTCAGGTGTCCATGCAACTGGGCAAGGGCATTGGTAGCAGATGAAGTCTTCTGTTTGTTCACTCATTCTCCCAAGGACCAAATGCCTGAGTGAGGTACAGGGGTAGGGTGGGAACACAGCACGGGGATGCCAGAAGGCCAGTGTCCAGGGGAAGGTGGACTTAACCCTTGGCCTCATTCCTCAGGGTGGGGGAGAGAATTCCAGTGGGAAATGCTAGGAAACTTCAGCTCCCTGGGCCTGCATTTCTTTATCTGTGAAATGGCGATACTAATTATAATCATGACAGCAATAATTTTTTTTAGGCTTTATTGTTTATTTTTAGAGGAGGTATTGGGGATTGAACCCTGGACCTCGTGCGTGCCATTTGAGCTATACCTTCCCCATCCCATGACAGCAGTAATTTTGAACCCTAAACTGAGATAGTGGAATCATTGAAATGGTAATTATTCCAAGCTCCCCTGCCCCACTACCTAAGGATAGCTAACTAGGGATGAAGGGGTTGTTCTAGGTGCTTTGCTTAAATTAACATTTAATCCTGACAGCAGCCCTGTGAGATAACAGCATTATCCCATTTTACTGAGGGCAAAGTTGAGGCATAAAGAGGTTAAATACCTGCTTAAGGTAACATAAGGTTTGAATCACAATGCCCCATGAGCCACCATATGTATATAGCAACAAATTCCACCACAGCCCCTCCTCAACTGTGGGTTTAGAGGAGCTCCTCCAGGCAAAAGGCCTGTTACAAACCAACAAGTACTCTGGGAAAGTAAGAAACGGGTGTAGCCCACACCCAAGAACCCAAAATGAAATTCTTAAGCAGGGAAAGACCCCCCGTGAGGAGGGGGCATTTAGAGAAGGCCCTACTATTCCAGAACTTTTCTTTGTGCTTCGATTACGTGCTAGGAATCCCGTCTCTTCTTATTGTGTGACCTTGGGCAAGTTGGCTCACCTCTCTGGGCCTCTGTTTTCTCATTAGTAAAATGGAGACAAGAACCCCTTCTATCGGTCTATGGTAAGGACAAAAGTCGACTACACAGCTAATGAGCAGGGTTCGGCGGGCGGGACCCACTGAGTTGGTATTACTGAGTGCTTTACCCATGTAGCCATCAAACAGAGGCGCCGAGCCCTATGGACCCATCGCCCCGTCTGGAGGCTGGAGGCTGGGGCGGGGAACCGTAGCTGGGCGACGAGGGTGCCACGCCCGGCCGCCCCCACCCCGCACTCCCGCGCCGTGGCCCGACCGAGTCACCTGCACACTGGGCCCTTCCTTCCTCCCAGAGTGCCGGCGGCCAGAGCTTGGCCCGCCTTCCCTTCCCTCCACCCCTATCCGCCCGCCGGGACCGCCCCCGCTCACCCGTCCCGTCGCGGCAGGCTCCGCCCTCGGCCCTTCCCGCGTTCCATTGGCCCTTCCGCGGCCCCCGCCGCTGTTTGTCCCGGCTTCCTCGCCGCCCATTCGGCCCCGCCCCGGATCCTCCCCACGGAACGTTTGGAAAAAAAAAAAAACGTT